GTCTCACCCCTTTCATTGCCTGACCTTCTTCCCTGCTCAGCTCAGATTCTGTGCTCCATCATTATATCCAGTGTCCTGTCCATACCCTCAACTCGCTCCTCCCTCTCTCCTTTCTTCGTACTTGCCTGGCAAAATCCCAACCTGGTTGTACCCAAACCTTTGCCATATTCCCAGCTACTCCCAAGTAGATGAATATAGCTGGAGGAAAACCATAAGCCTAACTGGTGCTTTGACCTCATGAACACCAATGTCACTGGGTCCTTCTTGAAGCATCCTGGCAACCACACTACCTTCCCTAATCCACTCATCCCCATTCTCCAGGACTAGCTCGAATTTCCTCTCTCCTGAAACCTCCCACGATCTCCTCCCACGCTCGCTGTCAGTGATTCTGCTCCTGCTTTCACTGAGAAACGTAAAGGACTAACTTCTAAAACTCCCACTTCGTGTGCCAAACCCCACCCAGCGCCTGGACCCATAGGCTCTACTTTCTCTCGTTACTGTGTAGAAAATGTCCACTGTCCCATCCAAGGACAACCTCTCATTTGTGGTCTACATGGAGATGTGCCACCCAGATACCCCGTCAAGGCAGGACCTGCTGCGCAGCCACAGAGAGCCCATCTATCAGCTCCCTCCGGGTCTGCTGCAGCCATGGAGTCACTTGGCCTGAAGTCATGCCCTTTCTGGGGTGGCGTGCACGCAGTGGCTAAGCAAGACGGGGTTCTGAAAGTCCGACCAGGAAGGACACTCTGAAGAGCACTCCTCGAGAGCTCCCCACGGGATTGGCAGAGGCTTCATCAGTTCTGCCTAGGTTTGACCTCTTCTTCTGCCCAATCTTGCATCCCTCCCTTCCTTTCACAGGTATTGATCTCCCATAACTGTCTGGCACCCAACTTCTGCTTCAGTATCCACTTACAGAGAAGCCAACTTGATATCCCTACCATACCTACCTTAGATCAGCTCCAGCTCCTGTCCCCTCCCTCTCTTTCACCATGAACTTTCCCCCTCTCTACTGATTCATTCCTATCATCATATGAACCTTCAGTAATCTCCTCCTCCTCCTCTTCCTCCTCCTCCTCCTCCTCCTTCTTCTTCTCCTTCTTCGAGAAAGAGAGCACACATGAGCAGGGGAGAGGGGCAGAGGGAAAGGGAAGAAGAGAATTCCAAGCAGTCTCCGTGCCCAGTGCAGAGCCCAACGCAGGGCTCGATCTCACCACCATGACATCATGACCTGAGCGGAAATCAAGAGTGGGATGCTCAATGGACTGAGCCACCCAGGCGCCCCTCTCCCTTCTTAAAAGCCAAACTCCTGGGGCGCCTGGGTGGCGCAGTCGGTTGAGCGTCCGACTTCAGCCAGGTCACGATCTCGCGGTCTGTGAGTTCGAGCCCCGCGTCAGGCTCTGGGCTGATGGCTCAGAGCCTGGAGCCTGGTTCCAATTCTGTGTCTCCCTCTCTCTCTGCCCCTCCCCCGTTCATGCTCTGTCTCTCTCTGTCCCAAAAATAAATAAACGTTGAAAAAAAAATTAAAAAAAAAAAAGCCAAACTCCTTTTGAGCTCCTGCTCCATTTCTCTGCTCCGCTGAACAGGAAAATTCCTAGAAAGTGTCTAAATCCATTTCTTGCCTACCTGTCTCACTATAGCCTCACTCCTGGCACCTTCACGAATATCAGCCCTACAGAAACAGCTGTTGTCACTGATAACGCATCATCGTGATAGCCAATGGACAATGCTCAGTTCTCTTGTCACCTGATCGTTTAGCAGCTTCTGACCCAAGTGATCACTTTCTCCCTCTTAGACAATCATCTGGCTTCGTTCTGAGACACAGCTTTCCACGATTTTCCTCCTCCTTTCCTGGCTGCAGTAGCTCCCTCTCCTTTGCTGGTTCTTCTTTCTCTCCTGAATTTCTAAACACTGGAGAGCTCCAGGGTACAATCCTGACCCTCTCCTCATCTTTACCATATTCACTCTGTTAATAATATCAGCCAGTCCCGGGGCTTTAAATACCATCTACATGTTGACAAGTGCTAAATTTATATCTTGACTAGAGCTTCTTCCCCTGAATGCCAGACTCTCACATCCAACTGCCTATTCTGAATCTCCATTTAGATTAACAAGAATCTCAAACCTAGTAGGTCCAAAACAAAACAACTGATTCCCTTCCCCACCTCCCCCATCAAAGAAAAAGGAAGCCCTGTCCCCCACCCCTCAACCAGAGGTCTTCCTCATCTAGGTAACTAGCTACTCCATTCTTCTAGTTATTGAACCAGAAAACAAAAGTCATCATTGACTCCTCTCTGCTTCTTATACCCTACATTCAATACGTGAGAGGATTCTTTAGAATCTCCAGTCTTTCTCCAGCACTCTCGTTTATTTAAGGTCTCTTTTCAAATGTCATCTTATTAACAGTTATCAAATATGCAAAATAAAGTCCCGTCCACCTTACTGGTACTTCCTATCTTCTTTAGCCTGCTTTACCTTTAACAAAATTAGTCACTCAATACAGTCACTTATTTGTTCATTGTCTCAACCAGAATGCAAGCTTGAAGACCGCAGGGGCTTAGTCCTGATCCCTAGCTCCCAGTGATGGGCAGGAGGCAGGTGCTCAGCAAATACTTCTGAATGATACATGAATGAATGGAAAAGGATGGAAACGGAACAGTGATGGTGTAGGGGTAGCAGAAGCACATGGGCATAAAGCTAAATGATGTGAAGGTGCAAACCATTTGAAGATGGAGGGAGAAACGATCCTGGCAGGAAAAAAAGTAGAAAGCTCAAAGGTAGGAATGAGCCAGGCTTTCTGGGGGAACATCAAAGAAGGCTTGTGTGGTTGCAACAGCCAAAGGTCTCAGAGAGGTGAAACGTCAACAACTAGATTACATAGGACTTTGTGAACCGTAAGTATATTTTTAAGTTTATTTATTTTGAGAGAGACAGAGCAAGCAGGGGAGGGACAGAGAGAGAGAGAGGGAGGGAGAGAGAGATCCCAAGCAGGATCTGCATTGTCAGCACACAGCCCCATGTGGGGCTTGAACTTACAAGCCATGAGATCATGACCTGAGCTGAAACCAAGAGCTGGTCGCTTAACCGGCTGAGCCACCCAGGCGCCCCCCACCCCCCGCCCCGAACCATAAGTATTTTGAATTTTCTTCCAAGTATGGTAAGAAACCACTGAAGAGTTTTAAGCAAGGGAGTACCCAATCTGAGATTAAAAAAAAAAAAAAAAAATAAGTCACCTTGGCTGCTGTGTGACTAGCAGGGGGGTGGGGGTGGTAATGTGGAAGCCACCTGAACAGTGAGGCTGTGTGGAAATCCAAGCAAAAGAGTGAACAGAATTTGAGTGGCATCAGTAAAGTGGGGAAAATAGTATAAGATTTGAGGGTAGAAACGACTGAATTGGTTTGTTCTCGTTAGGGGCACAAAAGGAAAAGAGAGGATTCCAAGAAAATGTCTCATTTATGCCCTGCAATCTGGAGTCCATTCAGGCAAATTTAACTCATCCTATTTCCATGAAGTCCATTGAGTAATAGGATCCTTTGGACAGCTGTGGTTGAGTAGGGGGAAGAAACGAAGGGCATCACATACAGAAAGGGGCAGAAATATTACATTCGGTTTTGGTAACGAAGAGTTTTCAAAGGTGTCTGCGGAGCTGGCCTAGAACTCTGGGAGGAGGGTCTGGAGTGGCCGATACCGTATTTCCTGTTATCTCCCTCTCTCTCTCTCTCTCTCTCTCTCTCTCTCTCTCTCTCTCTCTCTCTCTCACACACACACACACACACACACACACACACACACACTACTTTTAGGGGCCTAAAATGGGCAATACCGTACTTCCTGTATTATCTCACACACAATTCCCCTACATTTACGAGCGTGGATTGGGCAATACCGTATGTCCTCTATTATCTCCCCCATATTTATGGGTCTGGACTGGGCAATCCTGGACATCCTCTATTATCTCTCTCACACACACCCCCTACATTCACGGGTATTACTGGGCAATACCGTATTTCCTCTAGTATCTTTCTCTCTCTCTCTCTCTCTCTCTCTCTCTCTCTCTCTCTCTCTCTCACACACACACACACACACACACACACACACACACACCTACATTTACAGGTCTGGAAATCGCGCGCACAAACACACTCGCTACATTTACAGATCTGGAAATCGACTTGTCTCTGGTGACGTGAACTTCGAACGTGGTTGGGTCTTTTTCCCTAGGGCGCAACTTAAACAAGGCATGGGGTCCTCCGAAATACAGCGGTTTCAGGGCTCACCCCCAGCACGATCTCTGGACCCTAATGGAGATCACTCATTTAGTAATCCCTTCAACCTCTGTGAAATACTGCAGGTGGCGACTTCCTGAGATGGAAACTTCTCTACCACCAGCCGCCCGCCCCTCCCGGGCGCAGGCTGCCCCCCTTTTCCGGGCAGGAACCGAGGAGACAATGCCCTGGCAGGCCCCCTAGCGTTCTCGCGGCCAGCCCCGCCAGGTCGGCCGGCCGGCCGGCCGGGACGCGGCCCGCACGCCTCCCCAGCGGAGAGCCCAAGCGCCGGCCCGCGCGGCCCGGGAGCGCGCCGTC